GGGGGGGGGCAGGGGGGTTGATGTGGTATGGGGTACGCAATGAGAAGTGAGACCCTTGTTTTGCCGCACATCTTTCTTGCTTAGTCTCACGCCTGGCCGACTCCCGGGAGAGTCTTATGAATAATAATTATTAACCTCCTCTTTCGCTTGGCTTTTCCAGGGGCTTGAATGTAGCTAGTGGTGCAAGGCGATGGCGCGAGCAGAGAAAAGCCAAAGTAAGTCGAAGATCTTGTCTAACGGGGTGGTAAAGAAACTTCGGATGGGATTAGTTGGGGGACCGTGAATTCAATGAGTGAATATTTCCCGGATTTTTCATCGAATTTAATTTCAACTTTTGAATTTTTAGGGATTAGACAGGGGAAACTAGCAGCTAGTCTCGGGAACAGTCCCGTTGTATTCATTTTTGGTTATTTCATTTTTTCAGCATTTTAAAAGCCTGAATAATTTGGCCTACTTATGCCTGAATTTTTGGTTTAAATTCCGAGATTTTCCTGAATTTTTCGTGAAACCTGAGATTTCAGGATTTTTACTTTCAAATGGTTATTCCTCACACGTGAAATGTCCAGTTCTCCCGGAATCTAGGAATGAATTGAAACCGAATTGATGGAGCGATGAGAATATTAATAAGAATATCAATTAACCATCAAATAAATAATACGATAGCAATCTCCAACAGAAGACCAACATCCCATTTTTATTTCAAGCGATGTACCATGAAAATTAGACTAGAAAAATCGAGGGAGCTGGCATGCGGAAGTAAGGGATGTTGTGCATTATGGTTTATTGTTTGTTATTACATGTTCAGTGAAGGCCTGGGATATGATTGTAGAAATTCCGGTGTACTGAGCTCTCCCCCTTTGCAAGCCTCGGGGTGTTCTCCTAAAGCGCTCGGCGTTTCCCCTTTGGCGGCGTAGGCGGCATGTCACAGCCAGCTGACTCTCACCCCCTTTTCCCCCATTCTCCACCCACTCCTTTTCACCCTGGGTTTCCAGTGTAACCCACCCCCCTCCCCATGACTGAAATATCGCCTGAACAATGGCGTACCACTATACTTCTCTGATTCTCCATCGCACTCTCACCCGCACTCCCAATTCGGAGTTTCATTCTATCTTTTTTTTTTTCCTTTTTCCTGGGGATAGAAACGGGTAGAAAAGACAGAATTCAACTCGCCGACTGGCCAAGCGGCTCCCACTCGACAAGAGGAGACCCAGAAAACAAAAAAAAAAAAGAAGTTTGGAAAAAATATCGTCGCATCTAGCTAAACCCCCGGAAAAAACTTAACCCCGTCGACGCGATAAAATTTAACAGTTGAAATAACTTGTCTGTCTTTTATTTATTTCATTATCGCACTCACCAATAATTTTCACTTCATGAATTCTCAGAATTCTCTCCTACCATTGTCCCTTAATTATCGGGTATTATGGGCTCGTGCTCTTGTCGTATTCTACTATCGCTTTCGAAACAGCATGACATGCATTCTTTTTGTGTCAAACAACAGCGATCAGCATGATCCAACACTTTTATTTCACCCTCCACCTTTCATTTTCTCAGTTTTCATTTTTTTTTCTCATTCCCCCCCTTTTTAATGCAGTTTTCGTTGATACCCGAGGAGTGGCCATACAAAGTGGCGCCATATAAACTCGAGCGTTAAGGAAAGTGCTGGAGAAAGAAATACGTCGAGTCATTCTACGTGTTTTGAACGAAAGTAGAAATGAATGGGGATAGGGCAGGGGGAAATGAAAATGGTAACAGAACGCAGGAGAAAAATGGAGTAACAAGAGTGTGTAGCTTTGGCGACAGCACGAATCATTGACTCTTGATAATGAAACGATGACTCGTTCGTACAACTACTCCCTCCTTCTTCCTTTGCCCATCGAAAAAACATGAATTTACTTTCGACACATCGGAATAACCGAACGAGAGAAGCAACGCGTCTGCCATAGATAACTTTTCGTACATGTGGACAGAACGGGGTTGAAGGGGGTACATTGGTTATGTTTGGTGGGAGGAATAACGATGATTACTGTCGCCCGGGTATATAGAACATTTACTCCCGCGGACGTGAACACGAGGCCGTTTGCAATTATCGGAGAGCTTCCATTAGTTAACTGCAGTCGATACGCAGCCAAACTCTCTCTCTCTCTCTTTCTCTCTCTCTTCCTCTCTCTCTTCATTTCTCTCTCTCTCTCTCTCTTGCACTTCAGCAGCAGCCGATGGGCTTAACCTACCCCTTCTCTTCCACATCAAAACATCATTACTGCATGAGCATGAGAGAGCAAGCAAGCTCACTGGGGTAATCAATTTCACTGTGGCCTTGCTAATGCATTGAAGCCGCTGGAAACATTGATGTTTTGTGTTTTGTGACTTAAATTGAGGCTCAAGTGACATTTGCCCATGTAAAAAGATGATGATGATGATGGGGCGTCGACGCGGGATTGGAGGGCATCATGTGCGATCAGAACTCGATCTAGTTTTTCTAAGCTGCGATCAATCAAGTCATTTCTGATGAGGATCTCATCAAGGTTTAAGCCTGTGGGTTGCATCGCTAAAGATGAGAGCGAGATCACCTCGAAAACTCATTAAGTAATCACGGTCTTAGCTTCAGGTCTGGCTATCTGAACTCAATTAGATCTAATTCGGACTTTATGTAGTTGATTTTCATTAGAACGAGTTAAGATTCGAATCAGGTTTACAGATCATTAAGGTTGGAGAAATTTGCCTAGGATGACGGTGAAAGAAAGCTTCATGAAGTTTTGGTGAAAAACTGTATTACATAATTGATTGGGTATTGACCCATGTCGACCAGTTTCCTGGTCAAACGAGGTGGACCGGCTTCAGTCTTGACCTGGACCTGACCAAAATTTTCGCTTGGATATACTACACCTTTCCATGACATCATCAAGTGCGATCCAAAGTGGATGAGTGGGTGTCGTGCAGTCTGCGGTGGCTGTTAAGCTTCAACTAATTTCTGCCACGACGGCAATAGACATCTCTGTCCTCCATAACCCTAGAAAATTTGGACATATCCGTAGTGGCGTGGGTTGAGAGGGGAGACAGAGGCAGGCGGTGGAAGTTATTGGGTTCACAGCTGTCGCAAGCGTCGACAGCAGTCGATTGTCAACTGGCCACCGTCTCCGGGAGAGTGCCCTCTCTCGGGGTCAGACTCATCGCAATGATCGCTTCTACACCCTCTCTCAACACCCTTGTGTACCTGTGACCCTTCGCCCTGAGCCCGCTATGGCGTCAGCTTGTACCAAGTCTCTTAAACTCCATCGTCACGGACTGTATGTACCAACTGGTGACGCCTGTTATAAAGTATCTCCCACCCTCACATTCTGCTCGCCCCTCGCATTGGATACTTTTCTTCGTATTAGCGCGCCATGATATGTCGAGAATAGCAGTTATAGTATGAAAGATTGGGTGATTATTGCTTGAAAATTGTACTCCACTCTGTCCAAGTATTCTATTGATGATTTTCAGGGTTCAACATCACAAGTCGGTGAGTCCTGGTGGATTTTTAATACTGTCTCGAGGAAGTTAATGAAAATGGAAATCATAGCGGAAGCAGAATCAGAAGACCGGACAAGCGGGAGAAAAAGAAGAATCATACCAGAATTCGGAGAGTAATATATGAGTTGAGATTCTTCTAGAGATTGCTCTACCTATTGCCCCTTAAAAAAAATCGTCACGTCCTTAGAGATCATCTTCACGGACTTGAGAAGACAAAATCATGTGTACGTTATCCCAAAAGGACTATTCAGCTTCTTAACATTGCTTTGAAAATGGTCTCGAACGAGGCATTGTAGATGCCCGCCGGGCGTCATAGGTCTGTACCATAATTCCGGAAAAAGCCATCTAAACAGTGTTATTTAGATTCAAGAAGATGGGCACTTGGGTTAGATAATAGCCATTTAGATTGACCGAGCTGACGCGAGATGGCCCTTAAGCGTCACTTTTATTTCATCTCGCTGGGATCTTGTAATCTCGTTCTGGATCTCCTGGACCACATTTCTTGCTCCACCTCAGACTATCCAATGTCTTCATACAGGGATTTAGACACGAAACGTCACATTGTTTTTGCAATCTCCACCAGAACTCCCAAGAAATCGTAAAATCTGAATTTTTATTGACGCAAAAT